GGGCCTTACCTGAGGAAAGACCAGAAGGGCTGGGGATGATGGTAATTGGTGTCCACACATCCTGAAGGGACCTTCAATGGGACAAGCACCATGGTGAGGAGAGAGATTTTCCTAGAGAGGAGAAAGAGAACTCAAGTTAGAATGAAGAAATAATTCCAGGCTTAATTACATTAGTCCTCCATTAGTGACTGTCGTAAATACAAGTCAGTTGCTGCAATGGCAACAAAAAACTGCACTTGCAATTGTTTTCCACACAACCGTTGTAGCAACTGACTCATATTTACAACATTCGCAGCGTCCCAGGGTCACCTGATCCCCTTTTGTGACCTTCAGTCAACGGGGAAGCCTAGATTCTTAAAACTGCAGGGATTCGCTTAGTGACCATACCAGGAATAGTCGCAAAGGGGGGGATTATTTGCCTTGCTTAGCAACAGGAATGTGGTCATAAGACAAGGAATACCTCTTGTCCGGGATTTCTATAACCTCTCCCCAAATAAGGATAGGGAGAGGCCTCAAACCGTCCCGGAGTTGTTTTTGCAAACACAACAGGAATGATCAGAGTCATTGACAAGACCCAGCCACGCTGGAAGGTTTGCGTAGTTGCGACGGCTTCCGACGGAGGTGCGAATCCTATCCCCAAGTTAGCAACTCTTAGAAAATCCAATTTTACCAAACATTAAGGAAGACAAACTGAGAAAAAGGCACGAGAAAGACCAACAACAAAGGCAAATTTGTTCACAAAGGGTTGTTATTTGCAACACACACTCTGCAGTCGCATAATTTGTGGCCTTATTGTCAAATTCCTTCTAAAAGCCCCTCTTGGAAAAGAATCAATTAGGACAAAATTACAGCAACTCTTTGACTTACATTCATTTAGCGACCGCTGGAAGTTAAGACGGCATTGAAATGAGCGGGCTGAGTCCTCACACGTACAACCATCATACGGCATCCCCACAGTTGCGCGGGCCAAATGGCAACAGTTGTGGCTTTCCGCAATCTCCATTTGTGACCTTTCCACAGCCATCATCCATAGTGGAAGCCAGATTTGCTGTACGCACACGCAAATCGCTTAACATATACGGCAAAAATTGGGTGCAACTCCCTTAGCGACCGATGGGCTGTGACAGAAGGAGTCCCTGTAGACAAATAGGGAAAGAACACAACGTTACAACACTATGCACTGTCTATGGGCATATACAGATGTAAAATGTGATAGACACTGATAGATGTTACATATATATGTGTATCGGTATGTCTAATATCTATCGGTATGTGTATAGAAATATCCACATATGTATCCATATCTCTATATCCATAGATTAGATATACAAATACTAAATAGAATACATATAGATACGTATTCTATTTAATAATTGTATATCTAATGTATGGATATAGAGATATACATTTATTGATTTATTTATTATTTATTGGTTTGATTTATATGCCATCCTTTTCCGGAGACTCAGGGCCAGGGTGGATTTGATTTAAATCGAGTTGATTTAAATCACAATTTAAATCATGATTTAAATCACTAGTAAAAAGGCTTGATTTAAATCAACTCGATTTAAATCATAATTTTTAAAGAGCAGCTGTCATCTCTGCTACTCCTTTGACCCACTGTTGACTCCCCGATAGTCCCAGTGTTGCAGAATATACAGCCTCATGCTACATAACTCAGCTCCATTTCATGCTGAATAAACTAAATTATTTATGTATCTTAAATAGAAAACTAGCTTACGATAATTTTTACCCCAAAGTTTTTTTATTAAAATAAATTCGATAAAAATAAAAAAAATCCGATTTAGATTTTTAAAAATCTGATTTTTTTTCATTTTTTTAAAAAAATCATTAATTTTTATCCACCCTGCTCAGGGCGTCTTACAATGCGTTAAGCAATAGCCTTCATCCTTTTCTATATACCTGCTTAGCGGTGTTCTTTTTTATATACAAAGTCAGCTTATTGCCCCCACAATCCGGGTCCTCCTTTTACCTACCTTAGAAAGGATGGAAGGCTGAGTCAACCTTGAGCCTGGTGAGAATTGAACTCGCAGTAATTGCAGGCAGCTGGCAGCTAAATACTACTTTAACAGTAGTTTAGTCCACTGCGTCACCAGGCTCTGTATAAATATCTATATTATAATAGATAGATAGATATTGATAGATAGATATAGATGGATGGATTAGATAGACGTGTTTATATATCTGCATACCGATCTACACGTTCCCCGCATAGGAATCTACACTTTCATCCCCAATGCACACACACACACACACACACACAATTCCCGCAGCCCAAGAGCGAATGAGTGGCTCCTAAACCTTCACAGCTTTCTTTTTAACAGAGACGATCAAGTCACTAGTCCTCAGCGAGTTCTGTCCTCCCCTTAAACACCCCCCCACCCCGTCCCAGGCCACGTGGCCATCCGCCTAGGCTCCAAACCCGCCGGCCTACAGAAGCTCAACGAAGTCCAAAGCACCGCGTGGTCTGCTGGGGGCTGTAGTCCGGCGGGAAGGGAGGGATGGTAGGCCCGGCCAAGCGGCCTCCGCTGCGAGGTCGAAACCCGAGTCTTTCGGGATCAAGAGTCCCTCCCGCAATCCGCCCGGAGACTCACCCGCTTGAGCGCATCGAGCCCGGCGGGCCTTCAGCGCTTCTCCGCTTCGGATGGAGGCGGATCCACGTTGCAGGCCGTCCCGGTGCTCCACTCGCCATTTCTTCCCTCGGCGCCCTTCCATCGCTCCGCCCCTTCTGCGCACGTGACCTGCCGCGCTCAATAGGCTTCCAAGCTCTCGGGAGCTCGAATAGACTCAGGCGTCCGACCAATCACTAGAAAGGGGCGGGACCAAGAGAGGGAGAATGACATGCCCGCCCTCAGCGTGTAGTTTTTCTTCCCGCCCTCAGGCGCTTGAAGACGGAATGAACTAGGCGCCCAACCAATCATGATTGGAGGGGGCGGGACCAAGAGAGGGATTATCATTTTACTATATCCTGTGTTACTTGCCGACCTCAATGAGCATGTAGTTTTTTTCCGACACTTCAGGCTCTCGAAGCCGGAAGGAACCAGGCGTCCAACCAATCACGATCGGGTTTCGGACTCCAAGAGGTGGGACCAAGAGACGGAGGACGGACTTATTACTTCCGGTCTGGAGTTGCGCTTGTTAAAGAATTGACAACATAATGATAGTAACACCAACACCAAAAAATAATAACAAACAACCAACAACAATTTTTATTATGGTTCCTTTCCTTTATATATTATTTGCTATAATTCTAAAGAATATTAATGTTCTCTGAGGAGCTACTATAGATTTTACAAACTCTTCTAATTCCTGTTGGTGAATAAAGAGGTCTGTGCCACCTGAACCTTTCTAATTTTCATAGATCTATGTTTACTTCTTTTTCATTGACTATGCTAAAGCCTTTGATTGTGTGGATCACAACAAATTGTGGCAAGTTCTTAAAGAGATGGGAGTACCAGACCATCTTATTTGTCTCTTGAGAAACCTATATGTGGGTCAAGAAGCAGCAGTGAGACCAGGACACAGAACCACTGATGGGTTCAAATTGGGAAAGGAGTCTGACAAGGCTGTATACTGTCGCCCTGCCTATTTAACTTATATGCAGAGCACATCATGAGAAAGGTGGAGCTAGATGAATCAAAAGTCGGAATTAAGATTGCCGGGAGAAATATCAACAACCTCAGATATGCAGATGATACCACTCCAATGGCAGAAAGTGAAGAGGAACTAAAGAGCCTGATGCGGGTGAAGGAAGAGAGTGCAAAAGTTGGCTTGAAACTCAACATTAAGAAAACTGAGATCATGGCATCCGGCCCTCTCAATTCCTGGCAAATAGATGGGGAAGAAATGGAGGTAGTGACAGATTTTACTTTCCTGGGCTCCAAGATTACCGCAGATGGGGACTGCAGCCAAGAAATTAAAAGACGCTTGCTCCTGGGGAGGAAACTATGGCAAATCTAGACAGCATACTAAAAAGCAGAGACATCATCCTGCCAACAAAAGTGCGTATAGTCAAGACTGCTCTTTAGAAGGCCAGATCCTGAAGAGGAAACTCAAATACTTTGGCCACTTAATGGGAAGGAAGGACTCATTGGAGAAGAGTCTAATGCTGGGAGCGATGGAGGGCAAAAGAAGAAGGGGACGGCAGAGAACGAGGTGGCTGGATGGAGTCACTGAAGTAGTCGGAGTGAGCTTAAATGGACTCCAGAGGATGGTAGAGGACAGGAAAGCCTGAAGGAAAGTTGTCCATGGGGTCACGATGGGTCGGACATGACTTCACAACTAACAACAAGGTTTTCGTTGGAATAGATAAGCTACCCTGAACTTTTCTATTAAATGACAGATCTATGTATTGGATAAATATTTATACTATCTTGGAACCATTCTACAATTTCATACTCTATATCTTCGGATGAATATTTATACTATTCTACTTTATTAATATTTATACTATCCTGGAATCTTTCTACAATTTCATAACTATGTGTTCATATACATATTTATACTGTACTATTCCCCTTTATTAATATTTATACTGATGAACTCTTCTATTATTTCATAGATCTATGTCTTTGTATAAATATTTATAGGACTCCGGAACCATTCTATATTTTATAGCTCTATGTCTTCAGATGAATATTTATACTGTATAGGACTCTTCCTATTATTTCATAGATCTGTGTCTTCGGATGAATATTTATACTATCTTCCTTTATTAGTGTTTATATTATTCCGGAACCTTTTTATTAAATCATAGATCCAGGTCTTTGGATGAATATTTTGACTACACCGGAATCTTTCTAGATTTATATTGATCTAGCTTCGCCTGCTCGGGAATCAGTTCGCGCATGCCCATAGGGCCTCCGTCCAAGCCGACCAAGCCTTAGTCTCTTCTCCTCCCTGACGTCAGTCCTCCCAGGGGCAGACCGTCGTGAAGGGGAGGAGAGGAAGGGCGCGCGCGCGGGGCATGCCGGGAACGCCGCCGACGCCCAAGATGGCGGCAGGATTGAAAAGTTGGTGCCGGGGCGGCGGCGGCGGCGGCGCTTTTTCGGGCTCGGCTTGACGCCTCCGGGGCGGCGATGGCGGGGCAGTGAAGGGCGAGGGGAGCCCGGCGGGGAAGATGCCTCCGGGCCCCGCCTGAGACATGGAGGAGGAAGGCAAGAGGGGCAAAAAGGTGAGAGGGGCGTGGCCTTTGGGCGAGGGGGCGGGGCTTGTTTGTATGGGGGCGGGGGGAAAGGCTTCTGTGGGCGGTGGCTCGGGACTACAAAGCCCATCCTCCAAAAGGGCGATCCGCTGCAGAGTTTCGTCAATGGCTTTGGACTACAGAGCCCATCCTCCAAAAGGGCGATCCGCTGCAGAGCCTGTCACCCTTGGACTACATAGCCCATCGTCCTCTCTGCGCCTTGGGCACCTTGGCAGGAGAGTTGTGCTGATTGGGGTTTGCTTCCCCACCCCCCCACCCCGAATTTGGTCTTGAACTGAAGAGCCCATCATCCTCAATGGTGTTGGACTACATAGCCCATCATCCTCTCCGTCTTGGGCATCCTGGCAGGAGAGCTCTGCTGGTTGGGCTTTTCTCCCCCCCCCTCCCCAAATTTGGTCTTGAACTTCAGAGCCCATCCCAAATGGTGATGGACCCTAGAGCCCATCATCCTCAATGGTGTTGGACTACATAGCCCATTGGTCCTCTCTGTCTTGGGCCTTCTGGCAGGAGAGCTCTGCTGGTTGCGCTTTTCTCCCCCCCCTCCCCAAATTTGGTCTTGAACTACAGAGCCCATCCCAAATGGACTCCAGAGCCCATCATCCTCAATGGTGTTGGACTATATAGCCCTCTCTGTCTTGGGCATCCTTGGTTGTGCTGGTTGGGCTTTGCTCCCCTCAAATTTGCCACTTGAACTGTCATCCTCAATGGCGTTGGACTACGGAGCCCATCATGCCCTCCATGCCATGGGCATCTTCAGGTTGCAGGAGGGCTGGGCTGGTTGGGCTTTGTTCCCCCGCCCCAAATTTGGAGTGGCCTTGGAGTACATAGAGCCCTTCATCCCAGATGGACTAGAAGGTCAGTCACACCAAATGGCAGTGGACTACAAAGTCCATCATCCTCGACACACCTTGGGCGTACTGGGGGATGGTGGACTCTGGGGTTCCTGGATAGAAGAGCTGTGCTGGTTGGACTTTTCTCTCAACCCCCATCCCCTGAATTTCGAGTGCCTTGGACTATAGAGCCCATCCTCCCAAAGGGTGATGGGCTACAGAGCCCATTATCCTCTGCGCCAGGGCATTCTCGGTGTGCTGTGCTGGTTATGTCTCCTGAGTTTCAAGGTTCCTTCCCCTGTTGGACCTTCGCCTGCATGACCAAAATAGATCTGATAGCCCATTTTCCCCATAATTCAAATTAATAAATTTCTATTTTTTCTCTTTTTTCTTTCTCTTTCCCTTGTTCTCTCATTCTCATTCTCTCTTTCTCTCTTATTCTGTCTCTCTCTCTCTCTCCCTCCCTCCCTCTCTCCCTCTTTCTTTCTTTCTTTTTCTGATTTTCTTTCCTCTTTCTCTCTTTCATTCTCTTTCCCTCATTTTCTCATTCTTATTCTGCCTCTTTCTCTCTCCTTCCCTCCCTCTCTCCCCCTTTCTCTTTCTTTCTCTCCCTTTCTTTTTCTTTCTCTATTACTCTCTCTCATTCTTTCTCTCTCATTCTGATTCTTTACCTCTTTATCTCTCTGTCTCTCTCTCCCTCCCTTGTTCTTTCATTCTCTCCCCCTCTGTCTCTTTCTCTCTCACTATTTCCTTCTTTCTCTTTCTTTCTTTCTTTCTTTCTTTCTTTCTTTCTTTCTTTCTTTCTTTCTTTCTTTCTTTCTTTCTTTCTCAGTCTATCTCCCTTGTTTTCTCATTCTCTCTATCCCTGCCTCTCTCATTCTGTTTCTCATTCTATCCCATTCTTCCCCCCCCCCCATCTCTCACTTTGGGATGGACGTATTTGGGGAAGGGGCTCTGATTTGCCTCCCCGTCACTGATTGTGCTGCAGGGGCTTGGCTCCAACTTCTGTTGCTAATTGAGACCGTCGTTAAGTGATTTCCCCCCCCCCTCAATTTTACGACCTTTCCTGGCACACTTCTTCAGTGAATTGTGCAGCTGTTAACGTAGACAGTCGTTAAGTGAATCCGGCTTCCCTATTGACTTTACTCGTCAGAAGGTCGCAAAAGGGGATCGCCTGACCCCGGGACCCTGCAACCGTCATAAATATGAGTCAGTTGCCAAGCGTCTGAAGTTTGTTGACATGACCACAGAGATGCTGCAACGGTCACAAGTATGAAAAACGGTCCTAAGGACTATTGTAACTGAATGGTCACTAAGTGAACTGTTGTAAGTGGAGGGCTACCTCTACTAAATATTTACTTCACGGATACGTTGGTAACATGATTGATTTGAAGGTACGGAAGATTAGCCTGTTTTAGAGATTTTCAAGGCTTTGTTCGGCAGGGATTCTGACTTTCGGGAAGCATCTGTTATCGTTGGAAAGTAGAGAATATGTTTATTTCTATTATCTTTATAATTAACTCGGGACTAGAACTCCCAGTCTCCTGTTTCCTTGGTCAGCACATGATCCATGAACTTCTGAAGATGGATATTGGATGGGAAATTTGCCACCCATCTCAACAGATAGGTAGGTAGGTAAATAGGTATTTTTATGTGATATTTTTACATATAAAGGGTGTGGTATTACCAACAGGCCTCATAATTTCTCATGCTTCCTGTCGCTCTATTGTGGTTACCGACGCCACAAGTAAACAAATTTCCTTAGTTATTAGTAAATGTGTTGGCTTTTCCCTAGGAAAATCTCTTAAATGCAAAGATTGGGTTTTTCGGAATGAAATTTGTAAAGGCAGAGAGTCCTGCCAACTTTTATATGTGTCATCCAAATAAATTTCCTGCAACAGTCACAAAAAAATCCGTGAAATGAACCCGTTGTCCTCTCTGCCCCTAGAGACACACCTAACCGAAACGTCCCCCCCCCAAAAAACCACCCAGATATAGCTTTTTATTTCATAACAGCTGATTTGAAACGAGACCAAGATCGTTCCAATTAATTCTTGCAATTAATTCTTGCAATTAATTCCTGACCAGTTTGCCTTGTGGAATTGAAATCGTCCTTCAGGATAATTGTGTACGTTTCTGAATTGACAGCGGCGTGGGGGGAAGGCCTACCTGATCATAACTGATGGGGGTAACCCTTGACTTATGACTGCAATGGAGCCCGAAACGCTAAGGGAGACCGTTGTTTGGGGAGGGTGTCCCCGTTTTGTGAGTTTTCGTGCCACCGTTGTTAAGTGAATCACCACCGTCGGTCTGCTAGGAAGCCAGTTGTTGTGTCGATCTGGCTTCCTGCTTGTGAGAAGATCACAAAAGGGGACTTACGTGACCCTAGGACACAACAACGGTCATAAATATGAATCAGTGATCCTTTTGTTGCCTTGCTTAACAACAGTCACAAATGTGAGTCAAGGCCGGCCGGCATTATGGCTTCTTCCAAAGGATATAGGATAGTTTAGTGTCATATTTCTCAAAGTTGGCAACTTGGAAGATGTGAGGACCTATCGTCCCTTTAAGACAGGGGGTCTTCAACTCCCAGAATTTCCCAGCTAGGTGTCTGAGGAATTCTGGGAATTGAAGTCCCCACGGCTTAAAGTTGCCGAACTTGAGAAACACCAGCTTGGTGGTTAAAATAGCTGATTGGGAGCAGCGAAATCTAGTCCTCCAGTATCCTAGAGAATCCATTCTCTTTCCCCATTGGAAATTAAAAAGATTTTGTGGCTTGCCTGAAGTCTACAAAATTTGTTCGATGTTTACTCTCAGTGTGTTGCTGTGTGTTGTGTTGGATGGAGTTTTGTTGAAACGTTGAAGTACCCACAGCTGTTGCTTAAACTCCTTCTGAAACAATCTTGAATGCTTCGGGATTCTCATTCGGTCACATTTAAATCCGTGGTCGCTCGCTGTGGTCTCGTCCTGTCGTTCGGAGATCCGTATGATACACTCAGACCCTCTTTTGCAAAGGTTTGAGCACCCCAACGCCCCCCAAAAAGGCATTGCCTCTATAGCTGTTTCCTTGTGGGAGTATCTCGGATTTTTTTTTTCTTGCCGACAGCTGGTTGTCGCGCTCAGCAGCTCCATTTGTAGAAGGAAGCTGTGGTTTGTCTGCATCCGGCTCTCACTCATGAGAAACGGTTGTCAGTGAGCCATTGCTTTCTGCAAATGCGCGAGTCTTATCTGGCTGTTGAAAGTAACTCTCGGGTAAGACGGCCGACTGCAGACTTTTCCAGATAGTTTTACTTCCGGAGGATAACGATGGAAAACGAGGTAAGGACTGGTGGTCGTCTTGCGAGAATGGTGTTGTTTTTTTCTCTCTTCGCTGCCCCCCAACCTGTCTCCCTCTGCTCATCCGAAACCCCTCACTCTTGATTTCGTCAAACGTCGGCAACCCACTCTGCCTCCCCCCCCTTTCTTTATTTGCAGCCTGGGATCGTCTCCCCGTTCAAGCGAGTCTTCCTGAAGGGGGAGAAGGGGCGCGACAAGAAAGCCCAGGAGAAAGTCACCGAACGGCGGGCTTTGCACACGGTCCCGTTGGCTTTGCCGGATCGCTTTGAGCCGGACGTCCTCTTGAACGACTACATCGAGAAGGAAGTGAAGGTAAGGCCGCCCTCTTCTTGAACGGAAGGACTTTTGAAGGGAATCATAGAGCTGGAAGGGAGCTCGGCGGTCTTTCAGGCAGGAGACCCTTCTCTCCTCTTCTTCCTCCTCCTCCTCATCTTCCTTCTCCACTTCGTAACAGACTTAACCACCGTGTGACTCACTTAACAATGCAGGGATTCACTTAACGAGGGATTCACTTAACCATGTGACTCATTTAATAACTGCAGGGATTCACTTAACTGCGGAAAGAAATCATAGAAGAACAGAGTTGGAAGAGACTTCGGAGGTCTTCAGCCCCCTGCTAAATCAGCAGATCCTTCTCTTCTCCTCCTCCTCCTCCTCCTGCTTCAAACAATAGAGTTGGAAGGGACCTTGGAGGTCTTCTAGTCCAACCACCTGCTCAGACTCGCTATTCTTTCTCCCTCCTCCTCCTCCTTCCTCCATTTTCTTCCTCCTGCTTTTTCTTCCTCCTCCCTTCTCCTGTTCCTCCTCCTCCTTCATTCTACTCCTTCTCCCTTCACTTCCTCCTCCTCCTCCTGTTGCTCTGAATAAAAGAGTCAGAAGTGACCTTGAAGGTCATCTAGTCTGACCCCCTGCTCCAACACGGTGACCCCCATTCCAGAAGGTCCAGCCGCATGACCATTGGGGAGGGAGGCCCCAATGGTCACCCCTCCCCAATGGTCAAGGTGGCTTGACTTCTGTCTACGTTGAGGAGCACAGGTGGATCACACAGATAGTCGTCGATGTACGACCATGGGGGAAGGCCGGAAGAGAGAAGAACATTTTCGAAGGTGGGTCTCGAACACAGGACCCCCAGAACCAATACAGGCCGTCCTGTATCACAACCGCAACATTTATGTTGCTAAGTAAGACAACGAAGTGCTTTTGGGTCTATTTTATGACTCCCTTGCGGTGGTTAAATCAGTCACCCGGTCGTTAAGTGAATCCAAACTTCCTGGTCGACTTGGCTCATCGGAAGGTCGGAATAAGGGAATTACATAACTCCTCAGAGATTCCATGACTGCCCTAAATACGAGTCGGTCTTAATTTTGATCCCCCGATCTCGGGGGGAAAACTGAACTAAGTCTCTTTTTTTTTTCCGAGGGCCGTCGTAAAATCGAGCTGTCACTAAGCGAACTATTTCTCTTTCATTGTAATTTTTTTTCCCACTTTTCAGTATTTGGGTCAAATAACGTCGGTTCCAGGATATCTGAATCCCTCCAGCCGTACCGAAATTCTTCATTTAATCGACACTGCAAAGGTAAACGACCCTTTTTGCCTGCAAGTCCTCGACTTAGAACTGTTCCAAGTTATGAGGACGCTGGGAAAAAAAAACCCCACGACTTGGGAGCGTTTTTCACCGGTGTTACACATCCTTACTACCGTCGCAGTGTTTCCTCGCTGTTGGGGATCCAAATCCGGATTCTTGTCAACTGACTTGTCTTTACGACGGTGGTGGTGATGGGTCATGGGATCCCCTTCGGACAAGTCAAGGGGGAAAGTCGGATTCAGTTAACGCCTGTGTGACAAACTGCTGCAGCGATTCACTTAAGAACCATGTGAACAATTGAACCGCTGCACCGTTTCACTTAACGACAAGGAAGATCATAAAATGGAGCAAAGTTCACTTCACTCCACAGATTCAGAGAATTAATTTAAGAACTGCAGCAATTCACTTAAGAAATCTTGGCAAGGAAAGCTGTAAAACGGAGCAACGTTTCCTTAACCCACGTCCCTCTTAGCAACATACATTTTGGGGCTCAATTTGCGATCGTAAGTCGAGGAATAGCTGTACTGACTTGCTCACACTGAACGATCTCATTTGAATTTCTGTCCTGTCATAAGAGGGTATTTTACAACCTATCACAGCCAGTCCTCGAACTTACGACCACAACGGAGCCCCAAACTTCCGTTGCTAAGCGAGATATTTGTGAAGTGAGCGTGGCTCCGTTTTAGCCCCTCCCCTTCTTGCCACTGTTGTAAGGCGAATCACTGCAGTCGTTAAACAAGTGATGCAGTTGTTAAGTGAATTTGGTTTCCCCCTTGACTTTGCTCATCAGAAGTGGGGGGTGGGTGGTCACGTGAGTCCCCTAGGATGCTGCGACCGTCATAAATACGAGTCGGTTGTCAAAACGTCGGAATTTTGAGTGTGTCATTATGGGAATGCTGCAAAGGGTCATAAGTGTGAAAATCTGTCATCAGTCATTTTTTTTCAATAACTTCAAACCGTCAGCTCTAAGGGGGAACTTCACCGAAAATACCTCCTCCTCCTCCTCCTTTCTAGCACTGATGATGTTAACTAGCTGGGTCATGAGACATCTGCAAGAAAACTCCGACCCACTTCCTTCTTTCTCTCTCCCCCTCCCACAGCGGGCTCACCAGCTTCCTGGCCAGTTGACCCATGAGCACGACGCCGTGGTCAGCGTCTCGGCTTACAACGTCAAGCTCCTCTGGCGTGACGGCGAGGACCTCATCCTCCGGGTGCCCATCCATGACATCGCGTCGGTGTCGTATATCCGAGACGATTCCTCCCATCTGGTGGTGTTGAAAACAGGTAGGTGGGGAGATCTCCAGTGGACAATCGTGTGACGCAGGGATGCTGCAACCGTTATAAATGCCGATAGTCCCCCCACTTACAGCGTTTCACTTAGTGACCATTCAGAGTTACATTGGGAAAAAGGAACTGGGTTTTTTTCACTTTTAATGGCCGTCGCAGCATCCCCGCAGTCACACGATCAAAATTTGGAGACTTCATGACCGACTCGTATTTACGACGGTCCCCTTTTGCGACTTCCCGACAATCAAAGTCGATGGGGGAAGCCAGAGTCACTTAATGACCATGTGTTTAACAACGGCCGCAGCGGTTCACTTAACAGCAGGTGGCCACGGATGGAAAAACATGAGCAAAACTTCACAAATGTCTCACTTAGCAACAGAAATGTGGAGGCTCAATGACAGTCGTAAGTTAGGGGACCGCCTGTATGCTGTCGTCTCCATGGCTCAGCCCAAACGGTCATTCAAAGTGAGTCACGCCCCTCTTTGTGACCTTCACGTTGCAATGGTGAAGTGAATCACCATGGTTGTTAAGCGGATTGCCCGGTCGTTAAGCAAGCTGGCTCCTCCCCCTTGATTTGGCATGTTGGAAGCTACGAATTATGATCACGTGACTGGGAGATGCTTTACCAGGCCCAAATTTTGATGATAGGGAAGTATGTGACGGTCGTAAGTATGAGGATCAGCTGTCAACTTTTTTTGCCCCAGTGTTGTCGGTCCTTAAAAGAATGGTCATAAGTTGAGGACTTCCTGTCTAAGCATCTGAAAGGGGGGGGCAAACCTGGAACATAAACATCTTTGGCGATTTGTGCTAAATAACACAACCTCACACTAGCAGTTGGCTTGGGCGGGGGGAGTTCCAATGATGGGGTTTTGTGTGGGGGAGGGTTTCTCTTGGAGACATTTTTTTACCCAACTAGCCAACGTCATCAGTGCTAGGAGGAGGACTGTGGGGTCCTTGGTGCTCTCTGAGCTGGGTGGTTTTCTTGTAGACGTTTCAAGACCCAACTAGGTAACCTCATCAGTGTTAGAAGGCACTGTGTATAAACGGAGAGTAAACCCCACACTACTACTAGCACTGACGAGGTTACTTAGTTGGGTCAGAAAAGGTCTGCAAGAAAATGACCAAGTTTAGAGAGCAACGAGGACACCACAGTCGTCGTCCTCCTCCACACTCCCTCCTTCTAGCACTGATGATGTTAGCTAGTTGGATCATGAAAGGTCTTCAAAAAATCCACCAAACTCAGACAACACCAAGGAACCCATAATCCTCCTCCACCTCTCCACAAACTCCACTGTCTGTGTGTGTGTCTCTCTCTCTCTCTCTCTCTCTCACACACACACACACATATCTCTATTATCTCTAGTATTTAGCATCTATCTATTTCTGTCTATCTATATCTGTATCTATTATCTATCATCTATTTCTATCTATTATCTATCTATCTAGCATCTATTTCTGTCTGTCTATATTATCTATCATCTATTTCTATTATCTATTATCTATATAGCATCTATCTATTTCTGTCTATCTATATCTATATCTATTATCTATCATCTATTTCTATTATCTATCATCTATTTCTATCTATTATCTATTTATCTAGCATCTATTTCTGTCTATTTCTATATCTATTATCTATCATCTATTTCTATCTGTATCTATTTATCTATCTAGCATCTATCTATTTCTGTCTGTCTATATCTATATTTATCTATTATCTATCATCTATTTCTATTATCTATCTAGCATCTATCTATTTCTGTCTATATCTATCATCTATCATCTATTCCTATCTATTATCTATTTATCTATCTAGCATCTATTTCTGTCTATATCTATATCTATCTATTATCTATTATCTATCATCTATTTCTATCTATCTATTTATCTAGCATCTATCTATTTCTGTCTATCTATATCTATATCATCTATTTCTATCTATATCTATCTATCTAGCATCTATCTATTTCTGTCTATATCTATATCTATTATCTATCATCTATCATCTATTTCTATCTATCTATATCTATCTAGCATCTATCTATTTCTATCATCTATCTATCTATCTTATCTATCATCTATTTCTATCTAGCATCTATCTATCTATCTTATCTATCTATCCATCCATCCATCCATATCTCTAGCTGTTATCTATCTATCTCTATTTGTAATTATACCTGTCTGTCTGTCTGTCTCTCTACCTATCTATCATCTATCTATCTCTCCCTCTCCAAACCTCCCTCCCTTCCAGCGCTGATGACGATCCCTAGTTGGGTCCTGAGACGTCTCCTGCAAGGAGGAGGGGGTCCGCGTCTCCACTCACAGCCTCTGTTTTTTCTCAGCTCAGGACCCCGGCATCTCCCCCAGCCAGAGTCTTTGTGCCGAAAGCTCCAAAGCTCTGACCTCCGGCTCTCTTTCGGAGAGTGGCGTGGTGCCCGTCGAAGCTTGTTGCCTGGTGATCCTTGCCACAGAGAATAAGGTTAGATCCTCTGAGGTTTTCTTTTGGGTCCTCCTGCCGGAATTGTCCCCCAGTATTTTTAATTTATTTCACTATTAAATGGATACGTTCACACACCCCCTCCCGTCTTACTGCCAGCGGGCTTCAAACATCTGGCTTTTATGTCTTAAGGCTGGACTAGAACTCACCATCACCTGGTGATTGGCCCAAAGTCACCCTGCTGGCTTTCACACCTAAACCAGAACTAGAACTCACTGTCTCCTGGTTTCTAGGCCCACACATTCCCCACGCTCCACCAAACTGGTTACTGACATTTCCAAGATCCTGGTTTGTCTTAACATTTCTGCCGAGAACAACATAACTTGGTTCCCGCGAAGATCCCTATGGGACGGTTAGATCTTCCCTCCCCTTTAGTGACCAAACCGTCGTCTTCCGAACCCAGCTCCCGGCGGTCCCCAGTGCAGGCCATCCTTGTACGTACGACCCCCGATTGAGCCCCAGATTCCTGTGGCTAAGTGAGACATTCGTTCTGTGAGCTGTGTCTCATTTTATGACTTCTCCCACCCCATTCGTTCAGAGAATCCCTGCCGTTGTACAATTAGTCCCGCGGTCGTTAAGCGAGTTGGACTTCTTGTTGTGACCATCGTAAATATGAGTCCGTGGCCAAGTGTCCGAATTTGGTTCCTGTGACCTTGGGGGTGCTGGATTGGTCATAATAGTGAAGAACAGTCCTATTTTTTGGGGCCATCGCAACTCTGAACGGTCACTAAGCAAAGTGTTGTAAGTCGAGTGGACTTCTTGTATAACCTGTCCCCTCTGCGTACCAGCGATGGGCTGCTTTCTCCTCAATGTGGTAGGTTTCTACCAGAACCTCCTTGTCTTCTTCTGAAAGACTTCTCTGAAGGGATGTCCACCTCACCTCCATTGGGTTCCTCCCTCCTCCAGGTCACTGGTGAGGAACTCTGCTCCCTTCTCAGCCAAGTCTTCCACATCGTTTACACGGAATCTACTATAGACTTCCTGGACAGAGCGATCTTTGATGGGGCCACCACACCCACGCGGCATCTCTCCATACACAGCGGTAGGAGAAAAGACTCGGATCTCCTTGGGGGTTGGGAGTCATCTTCAGCACCTCTTCCGGAGGCCCTTGGATTCATGGAGTAGCCATCAGGACGGCGTCTCTTCCTCTTACGGGTGGGAGCAAAGGGCTTCCTTCCTCGAGTCAGGTTTCATGGAAGGGAGGTTGGATCAGGAGGCGGAGATGGCCCCGTTGAGGTTCCTCAGGAGAGACCTTCTCCAGAACATGGCCTCAGGAATGTCCGTAGTTGGAAGGATGGAGGTGGAACCGGTGGGTGATGGGCCCTCGGGGGTTTACTCCCAAGAGAAGAGAATATTTGTATCTCTGAGCTGGGGGGCGGGCGGGGAGGTTCTTGCAGACTTCTTGTCCTCCTCTTCCTCTTCCTTTCTTCCTCCTCCTCCTCTTGAAACCCCCTTCACTCCTAGCAGGGAAAAATTTCAGAAATGAGAGGAAGACCCCCAACTCATAACCCTCGTTCCCTGTCGGAGGGGCGGGGGTCTCCAAAGCTGCACAGATCCTCCTTCCGCGGGCAGACGGGCCCCCGGGTTTCGGCCATCAGAAAGGACTATCTTGTAGGGTGGGGGAGAGAAGTCTGAAGCCCCCCCCCCACACACCCTGGGCTTTTCTGAGCCCCGTTCTTCCCCCGTCCCCCTCTCCCCCCTCTTCCCCACAGACGATTCGTCGACCAAAGTGGACGTCAAAGACCCCTACGAAACTGAAGCCAGCACGTTGTGAGTTCCTCGCGAACGGGCGCCGTCCCACCCGGGAGAGTTTCTCATCATCCCTACAGGTTGTCCTCGACTTATAACGACTGACACGAGGGTCCCAGATTTCTGTCGCCGAGACAGTGGAGGGAGCTTTGGCTCCCGTTTGATGAGCTTTGGCGGTCCCCGTCGTTAAGCGAATCATTGCAGTTGTTCAGCAAGTTGGGTGGGGGTTAAGTGAAAGGAGGTCGTGTGACACTCCCACCCACCCCTCCTTTGGGACACTGTGTCCGTCGTAAGAACGTGCCAGGTTCAAAGAGTCCAAATTTTGACCACTCGACTGGAGAGATACTGTGACGGTCATAAGTGTGAAAAATGGTCATAAGTCTCTTTTGCTTTAGCACTGTTTTAAGGTCCAAATTTTAATCACTTGGCCATGGGGATGCCACAAGCATCGTAAGTGCGAGGACTGGCTGAAAGTCCCTTTTTTCAGTGCCATTTTAACTGCCAAATTTTGATCATGTGACCATAGGGATACTGCAAGCGTTATAAGTGCGAGGACTGCCTAAAAGTCCCTTTTTCTAGCGTTATTTTAACTGCCAAATTTTGATCACGTAACCATGGGGATGCTGATAAGGTCGTAAATGCGAGGAGTGGCTCTAAGCCACTTTTTCCAGCGCTGTTGTAACTTTCGTCACTAAACGAATGGTCCTAAGTCAAGAATGACCTGGACTGTCCTCAATGAGGTTTGCTTTGGATGTGTGGCTGCGTAAGTACTCCTCGTCTTACAGTGATTCATTTAGCGACCATTCCAAATTACGATGGCACTGAAAACAGGTGTTTTTCACACTGATGACCTTTGTGGCATCCCCGTGATCTAAATTCTGACTCATATTTATGACAGTCGCAGCGTCCCGGGCTCACGTGGATCTCCGTCCCGGCACCCTAACTCAATGGGGAAGCGTTGAGTTACTTAACGACGGGGTGATTTACTTAACAACCGCAGCGGTTTACTTCACCACGTCTGTCAGAGAGGCCATACGAAGGTGGCAAGACGCACTTCCAAATGTCTCACTTAGCGACCGAAACGTGGAGGGGGATGCACGGATGCGGTCATACATCGAGGACTGCCTCTTATTATTATTATTGTAATTATTGATAAGTTTTCTCTCCAAATGGAATTGAAATGGAGTATCGGACAAGGAGTCCTCAATTTACAAAGATGGGAAACTTAGCGCCGTCATTGAAGCCGCGGAGCCGGCCCTGGGCTTTTTTTTTTCTGGGATACGGGTTCGAGGCCCAGGCCATCCCTTTGGAAGGTCCTGGAATCACTTTTGTGTGTGTGTGTGTGTCTCTCTCTCTTTCCCCCACCCTCCCACCCCCTGGTTTCTTTCCAGCTCTTTCCCAGAATCCTTAGATACGGGGTGCAACTCCCCCACCTCCTTCTCTGCCCAGCCATCGCCCCCCGCCAAAACAGCCAGCGACAGCGAGCTGAGCACGACAGCCACGGAACTCCTGCAGGACTACATGATGACGGTAAGTGGGACGAGAGAAGCCCACCCCCACCCCTCCACATACACACACACACACACACACACGGAAAAGTTGGAAGGGACCATCTATTCTAATCCAACCCCCTGCTCAAGAAGGAAATGCTTACGGAATAAAGAAGATTTGGAAGGGACCCTTGGAGGTCATTTAGTCCAACCCCCTACTGAAGAAGCAGATTCAGCATGCTTTAAAAGCGGGGAGGACTTCCAACTCCCAGGATCCCCCATCCGGCATGATTTAAGAGGGCTGGACTTCCCAGAAATCCCCATTGTTTTAAGAGGGATAGATTTTTGACTCCCAGAATCTCCCAGCCAGCTTCCTTATGTATACAAGAAAAGGCCTATTTTCCATAAACCATAAATGGTGAGTTTAACTCCTGGAGAAAACAGGCAATCTGCCTTGGACCATTTATTGAAACCTGGTTTTTACTTCCAACGTTGATTCGTCTTTTCGTTTGGGTAACCGCGTTCCTCCTGCATTCTAGTTACGGACGAAGCTTTCCTCGCACGAGATCCAACAGTTCGCCATGCTTCTGCACGAGTACCGCAACGGGGCCTCCGTCCACGAGTTCTGCGTCAACTTGCGACATCTTTACGGGGACAGCCGGAAATTCCTTCTGCTGGGTAACCGTTTCCCCACCCCGTGTGGGGATTGGGCACCCCCGCCCCAAAATTAATTGAGATTGTGGGTAGTCGGCTCTCTTGGCTAGTTGTGTTGGCTTCAACCGTGGGGTCCTTGGTGCTCTCTGAGCTGGGTGCTTTTTTCAAAGTCCTGCGTTCGAGTCCACCCACGCCTTCTCCGCTGAGTTCCCTTACCACCTTCTTCCTCCTCCCAAGGTCTCCGTCCCTTCATCCCCGAGAAGGACAGCCAGTACTTCGAGAACTTCCTCGAGACTATCGGCGTGAAGGACGGACGGGGAATCATCACGGATAGCTTCGGCCGGTACCGGTGGACGGTGAGATCCGCCTCCAACTCCGCCACCAACGGCAATGGCGCCACCGGAAGCTCCGATGACCAGTCGGCGCCGTCGGAGGGCGACGAGTGGGACCGGATGATCTCCGACATCAGCAACGACATCGAAGCCTTGGGGTGCAGCTTGGATCAAGATTCGTCGTGATCCGGGCAAGGATGCCGAGAGACATTGGGACTTTCGATTCTCGCGCCTTCCCCCTTTCTTTTTCCTCTTGTCTCGTTTCCCAAAGTTTCGACGAGACTCTCAGTCCCCGGCCATTTCTCTAAGCATGAGTGCCCATCGCTATGTGTGTGTGTCTGTGTGTGAGTGAGTGGATTGTGGAGAAGACACAAACCCCAGGAAGATCTTCAGAAGCTTCTTGGAGGGGGGGGGGGCTATTCCCCGCCTCATGGTTTTCCGCACCTTTCTAATGCTTGTGTGGACGTCTGAATGCGTGTTCCTGGACGTTTCTCGCGGTTGAAATTCCAAGCGGTTGTCCTTACATTTCAAGTGCAGGAGGAGATCTGGCGGAGAAGCTGTTGAGGTGCTCCAGAGCTCCATCCGCTGGTGGGAAGATGAGCTCCTCCCATCGACACCAGCGGGCTGATCTTCCTGGGAGTCGTTTGGGAGGTCCATAAGTCTGGTGGGAGGGCAGTGAATTCGAACTCGGGGCTCCCTACGGGCAGGCGGGTTGACCTCAGGGAGGGTGGAGAACCTGGTTGAGAAACCAGGTCTCCTTCAAGACAAGCCGCAGCTCCTTTGCTTGTCCACGTGGGTCCAAACCTTCCCCGATCTTGGCCAAATTCGGTCTGTTCCAAGCGGCCGGACCTCAGTGAGGAGCCTTGCTTTCCTCGAACAAGCAGGGCATTGTGTGAGGTTGTGGGTACGGGTGTCTCGTGGTGGACTTCCATCAAGAACTTGATTTGAGAACCAACAACGCGAACGAGACATTTTAAATCCTGGTTTATTTTAAGAAGCAAAGGCAATATATACATATGTACATGTGTTGTATATATTATACATACAAATGCACAGATATTTTTCTAAGCGTGTTTCACGCCGCCAAGAGCTCTCTGGGCTTCGATAAACTGACATGTATGCTCTTTTAGCCCTTTGGGGAGACGGACATCTGTGTCTTTATTTTTTATTTTTTTTTAAAGCGCACCAAAGATTTCTGTCTTGTGTTTTGTGTTTAAAAAAAAAACAAAAAACAACCCACCGGTTTCGAATAAAAAAAAAACCTGGCCATGGAAAACTAACCACAATAAGGGGACTTGAGAACTTCTTAGCTTTCCATCTAGGGAAACTGACCGGGATACGTGCCGGTTTTGTGTCTCTGCAAATGAGGGGTCGCAAATGGCGGCTCGCCTCCAGAAGTTGTAGGTGCTCCATCACACTGGAGGTTTGGAAGAGATTGGACAACTGTCTGTTCTAAAGGGTAGAGGGTCTTGCTTGGGCAGGGGGCTGGACTAGAGGACCTCCAAGGTCCCTTCCAGGTGTGTTATTCTGTGGAACGGTTTCCTCCTCACTGGTGGGGGCCCGTGGCGCTCTCTGGGCTGGGTGGTTTTCCTGAAGACGTTTCGTGATTCAACTAGGTGACATCATTGGTGCTGGGAGGGAGGGAGGTTTGGTCTCATCAGTCCCTTCTAGCACTGATGATGATCTCTAGTTGGGTCATGAAACGTCTGTAAGGGTTAGGGTTTTTGTCCTAACAATCATTGTCCTCACCGCCACCTCTTCCTTCCTTCCTCCTTCCTCTTCTTCCTCCCTCCCCCTCTTCCTCCTTCCTCCCTCCCTCTTCCTCCTTCCTTCCTTCCTTCCTCCTTCCTTTCTTCTACTCAAGAAGCCTTCCCTGGATGAGGCTGTGTTAGCAAATTACCGTCCAGTCTCCAACCTTCGCTTTGTGGCGAAGGTTGTTGAGAGTGTGGTGGCGCGACAGCTTCCCCAGTACGTGGATGAAGCTATCTATCTGGACCCGTACCAGTCGGGCTTCAGGCAGGGGTACAGCACGGAAACGGCATTGGTCGCGTTGGTGGATGATCTCTGGAGGGCTCAGGACAGGGGCTGCTCCTCTGTCCTGGTCCTGTTAGATCTCTCAGCGGCTTTTGATACCATCGACCATGGTATCATGCTGCGGCGGTTGAGGGGATTAGGAATAGGGGGCACTGTTCTGCGGTGGTTCTCCTCCTTCCTCTCCGACCGCTCGCAGTTTGTGTTGGCAGGGGGGCAGAGGTCGACCTCGAGGCGCCTCGCATGGGGAGTGCCGCAAGGGTCGGTCCTCTCGCCCCTCCTGTTCAACATTTATGTGAAGCCGCTGGGTGAGATCATCCGTGGTTTTGGGGTGAGAGTCCATCAGTACGCTGATGACACTCAGTTGTACATCTCCACCCCAGACCACCCCAACAATGCCCTTGAAGTGATGTCCCGCTGCCTGGAGGCCGTGCGGGCCTGGATGGGGAGGAACAGGCTCAGACTCAACCCCTCCAAGACCGAGTGGCTGTGGCTTCCGGCGCCCCGATATAGTCAGCAGGCGCCATCGCTGGCTATAGGGGGTGAATCTCTACCGCCCACAGAGAGGGCTCTGGGTGTCCTGGACGCACGGCTGTCTTTAGAAGAGCATATGACGGCTGTGGCCTGGGGGGCCTTTTATCAGGTTCGCCTGATTTGCCAGTTGCAGCCCTTTCTGGACCGGGACGCCCTATGCACGGTCACTCATGCCCTTGTTACCTTCCGGCTGGACTATTGTAATGCTCTCTACATGGGGCTCCCCTTGAAGAGCACTCGGAGGCTCCAACTGGTCCAGAATGTGGCCGCGCGGGCGGTTATGGGTTCAACTTGTTGCGCCCATGTAACACCGCTCCTGCGCAAGCTGCACTGGCTCCCAGCAGTCTTCCGGGTGCGATTCAAGGTGTTGGTTACCACCTTTAAAGCGCTCCATGGCTTAGGACCCGGGTACCTTTGAGACCGTCTTCTGCCACCAATAGCCTCCCACCGGCCAGTCCGCTCCCACAGAGAGGGCCTCCTCAGGGTGCCATTGACCAAGTTATGTCGGCTGGCGACGCCCAGGGGGAGGGCCTTCTCTGTGGGAGCCCCAGCCCTGTGGAACGAACTGCCCCCGGAAATGCGTAAGATCTCCGACCTCCAGGTATTTTGCTGTGCCCTCAAGGCCCTGCTGTTCCGACAGGTAGGGCTAGCTTCATAATTGAGTTTTAAATTCGGAATTCTTAAATTTTTGGGGTTTTTGGCTAATTGGCCTTGAATGTAATACTTTTAATAATTTTTAAATTTAAATTGTGATGTTTGTATTGTGTTTTTACCTGGCTGTACACCGCCCCAAGTCCTTCGGGAGAGGGGCGGTATAGAAATAAAATTATCCTTATCCTTCCCTCCCTCTTCTTCCTTCCTCCCCCTTTCTCCTTCCTTCCTCCCTCCCTCGCTCTTTCTCCTTCCTTCCTTCCTCCTTCCCTCCCTCTTCTTCCTTCGTCCCCCTCTTCTTCCTTCCTTCCTTCCTCCCTCCCCCTTTCTCCTTCCTTCCTCCTTCCTCCCCCTCTTCCTCCTTCCTTCCTTCGCTCCCTCTCTGATGCTGTTCCCTAGTTTTGTCATGAAACATCCAGAAGTAAACCTACAAGTTCAGAGAGCACCCAGGATCCCACAGTACTCCTCCTCCTCCTCTTCCTCCTCCTCCCTTTTAGCACTGATGATGATCTCTAGTTGGGTCATGAAACGTCTACAAGGAAATCCCCCCCCAGCTCAGAGAGCCCCCAGGATCCCAACCTTGCAACCCTCCGCTACAAATTGTCGCCTATCGGTCTCCACCTCGGTTTCTCTTCGGCTTCCTTCGTTTTGTGCCCATCACAGCCGGTCGATCCGACCAAGAACGTCGCTGACGTTAAAACACAACACTCAAAACTCTGCCTGATTTAACAACCCATTCCAGATCATCGGTGGTTTGCCTTGAGGCTAAAATCTTGATGTAAGCTGCAAAATATTTACATTTTTTCTTTTTGGCAAGGCATGAATTTTAACTACCCAGCGTCCAAATCCACGAGAAAAATAAAAATCTGAATTTATTTTTTCTTTTGCAAATGCCCCGAGCGAAAGAGCTTTGTGTCACATAAACATACACGGGAGGGGGGGGGATTCCCAGGAACATGGTTTAGTTTATTTGATTTGTATACCGCCCTTCTCCCGAAGGACTCAGGGCGGTGAACAGCCAACAATAAAATACATAAATACACAAAATTTTAAAAACCCGGTGGTATCTGGACCCCTTAAAATGATAAATTAAATGATAACACATTTAAAAAGGAGCATTAGTTTGAATTGGGCGAGGAAAAACCATTCCGGAAGAAGAAACAACGCTCAAACTGGCAGCTTTGCGTGATGGGTAAATGTTGAGTAACTCAGCGAGAAGCCACTGGGTGTAACCTAAGAGGAACTACAAAGGCTAAACCCTCCAGCGCTTCACGCGCGGTGCGATTTTTAGGCCAGTTGCTCAAGAGTTCGAATCCTGTTTTTTTTTCAGCAAATTCATCCCGATTGGCTACTTAAATCCTGCCGAATGAATGAACGCGGGAATTTGGGGGTGAATTCGAACTCCACTCCGGCTGGGATAACCAACTAGGATTTCAATCCTGAGATAACAGGAACCGCTGTCTGGATGCTTTCCAACTGGTTTTAAACAACCAAAGACAAGGGGGGCGGGGGGGGCGGGAGGAAAGAACCCAGATTCATTTAGCGGCCGTGTGAAAAACAGGCATAAAATCAGGCGCGAGTCACGGAAACCTGGCTTAGTGATGGGTGATTCTGGACCTGATTATGGGGTGGTTGAATGTCATCAGTGCCAGAAGGGACTTGTTTAAAGAGAGAAAACATCCCACTCCCTTCTAGCACGGATGACGTTCCATAGTTGGGTCATTAAATGTCTGCACCAAACTCAGAGAGCACCCCATAGTCATTTTTCTCCTCTCCCACATCCTCCTCTTCCTCCCTCTTCTAGCACTGAGGACGTTCTATAGCTGGGTCACGAGATGTCTGCAAGAAAACAACCAAATTCAGAGAGTACTCAGGACCTCACAGTCTCCTCCTCCCTTCCAGCACTGATGACGTTCCCTAGCTGGGCCATGAAAGGTCCCTTAAGAAAACCACACAGCTCAGAGAATACTCAGGACTCCCTTCAATTCGACCCAGAGTTACAAATTCTCTCTTTTCTGGATCCCAACCCAACAGGACACAAAAAAAGGGTCTCCCTCATACTCTTTGCTGCGTATTTGATACAACCGGGGAGATCCAGCTTGAGTCCGGCGGTCTCCGCCCAATCCTTGCTTCTGGTTGCATCAGCTGAACGCCGATTCCCTCCGGCCTTCTGCAAATGGAGAGTTCGACCTCTTTGCAAGTTACAAAGAGAAGGTGAATGTCTCAGCATATGGAGAGAGAGATGGGAGAGAGTAGATGACTTTGGTCGGAAACGGTGTAGGGTTGGACTAGAGGACCTCTAATGTCACATTTCAACTGTTGTTCTGTAAGGTTCTCCTGCTCGAGCAGGAAGTTGGGACTAGATGACCTCGGAGGACCCTCCAATTTTGTAACTCTATAAGGGACTCCTGCTCAAGCGGGGGTGGGTGGGTTTGGACTAGATGACCTCAGAGGTCCCTTCCGGTTCGGTAATTGTGATGCACAAAATGCGCACCCCGATGCTCGATTGTCACAAGAGGACAAAGGAATCCAGACCCATCACAGACCCCAAATGACCCCAAAATTTCTGTCGTTAAGCGAGACATTGGTTAAGTGAATTTGGCTTCATTTTGTGACCTATTCTGCCGCTGTTATGCGAAGCACAGCCACCTTTCAGCTACTCACTGAAAGGGTCTAATTTGACTATGTCTACGTCCCATTTTTGGGGACCATCGTCACTTCCAGAACGGTCCTTAAACAGAATGTTGTAAGTCAAGGACTGACACTCGACAGCTTCGAAGCCCCCCACCTCCCAGCAAAGGACAGAGAGACGGAGTCCGGGTGTAGCAGGAGTGAATATACCGTTTATTAAGCGAGAGAGCATCCTTGGTGTAGAAGAATCGGGGAGTAAAGTCTTTGCATCCTAACAGCTGTATCGGCCACGGACAACTGGATGTCTTTACAGAAGTGGGGGGTGGGGAACTGAGGCAGGGGGTGGGTGCTCTGAGCTGGGCGTCACCCCCCCGATTACTACGTGGTTAGCTCCTGGAAGACAGAAGGGGAAGAAGAGAAGCGTCAGGTCTAGGAACTGGGGAGGGTGGAGGGGTGGAGTTGTCACAGACTGTCTCCAGAAGAAGACACCCAACAAGACATTCTCCAATGAGTCCCAGATGGTTGGCCTAGGAGACCCTTCCATGTTCTACCAAGAGGCCAGGTCCTTCAACCAGGAATTTGAGAGGACCACTTCCCTAAACCTCCATTTCCAATCTGAATTCTCCCACTGAGGTGAGAAGAAGACAATCTCTTGGTCTCTCCAGTCAAGAAAGGCAGATGCCAATCTATCACAACATAGGAAGTCCTCAACGTACAACCATTCGTTTAGCAACCAAAGGTAGAAGAGCAATGAAAAAGTGAGCTACAACCATGTTTTTCCACGCTTATGACCGTCGCGGCATTCCCGTAATCCAAATTCAGACAACTTGGCAACGGACTCATGTTTATGGCGGTTGCGGTGGCCCCCGGGGGTTGCCAGATCCCCCATTGGAGACCTTTCGGACAGCAGAGTCAATGGGGAAGCCGGATTCGCTTAAGGACCATTGTGACTCTCTCTTAACAGCTACAGCGATTGGCATAAGGTCTGAGGCAACAGTTATCTCACTTCCCAATGGAGGTTTTGGGCTCAGTTGTGGGCATAAGTTGAGGAATACTGGTGTTAAAAATAAGAATGTCCGTCCAGTCAGTCAGTCAGTCAGTCTCTCTCTCCCTTCCTTCCTCCCTCTCTCTCTCACCCGCTCTCTCCCTCCCTCCCTTCCCTTTCCGCTTTCCCGCCTTCCCCGTCTCCCAACCTCTTCTTTCTGTCTTCCTCCCTTTATCCTCCCTTTCTTTTTCCCCTCTCTCGTTTTCCCCCTCCCCCTCCCCTTCAGCCTTCTCTCCCTCTCCTCCTTTCTCCTCTCCCTCCCCCTCCCTCCTTGTTTCCTTCTCACCCTATCCTTCCTCCTCATATTCTTCTTTCCCTCCTTCCCTCCCTCTCTCTCTCCTTCCTTTCTCTCCTCCCTCCCTCCCTTTCATTCTTTCTTGCTTTTCTCCCTCCTTGTTCCCTCTTTCTTCCTTTCCCATTTTCCTCCCTTCATCCCTCCCTCGTCAGTTATCCAACACAAATTTTCCAAGCTCCTTCCTCCCTCCCTCCCCTATCACTTCTTCCTACTTCCCTGTCTTCTTCCTTTCCTTCCATCCATCATTCTCCTCTCCTTCCTCCCTCCCTTTCCTTCCTTCCTTCCCTCCTGTATCCTATATCTCCTTCCTCCTTTCATTCCATCCTGCTTCCCTTTCACCTTCATTTCTTCCATTAATCCTTCTAACTCTCCTTCCTTCCTTCCCTCCATTCTTGCCATTCCATTTCCCCCTTCTTTTCCCTTCCCTTCATTACTCCTTCCTTCCTTCCTTCCATTCCTTCCTTCCTTCCCTTATCCTATCCTTCTTTTTGTTCCTTTCTCCTTCCCTTTCTCCCCTTTTTCTCCCTTCCTTCCTTGCCATTCCCTTCCCTTCATTATTCCTTCCTTCCTTCCTTCCTACCTTTTCTCATTCCTCGTTCCTTCCTTCCACCCATCCACCTATCTTTCCTTTCTTCCTTTCTTCCTTTCTTCCTTCCTTCCATCCTTCCTTCCTTCCTTCCCCCCTCCCTCCCTCCCTCCCTCTTCAGTCATCAATAGATTTCCCCCTCCCCAGGATCCCAGCTCCCCCCAGATCCTCTTCCCTCTTCCCAGATCACCTTGACTTCTCCAAAGACGATGTAGGAGTCAGAAGCTGGACTTTTGAAGACATCCGGATTGGTGATGGCAAGCAAGATATTCCTGGATTTACGGATGGTTATCCTGGTCACGCCGTGGATCTGCCGCAGACCCAGCTTGGACATGGCCTGGGGGCAAAGAAGACCACCACACACAGCCCATCAGCATCATGTTGATGGGCTCTCAACCACACCACAAAGAGAGGAACTCACAACACCCTCAAAAGCCACGGAAGAAAGCTAAGGAGGCCTCTTGTAGGTCAACCAAAGAGCTGGTTGAAGAACAAGGAGAAGGAGGGACCTTCTCCCACCCAAAGCTACAGTTGAGGTCCTGTAGACCAACCCCTTGCTTCCACGGAAGGCCATCTTGAGGTACGGTCTTCTTCAAGACATGGTGGACCATGAACTCTGGCAAATTCTGGAGACCACAAGATGTTTCTGGTATGAACCATGCAGAAGTCTTCTTCTGACCTCTTGAGAGAACTTAACTTCTCAGTCCAGAACCAAAGAAAGGGCAAGAGAGATATTTACACCCCAAAAATTGGAGTTGTTCCTAGGCGCTCTGTGGCTGATGCTTACTACAATGAGTGGAAGATTTTCACCTTGCCAGCCCTTTGAGGTAGACCAGATCAGGAAACTAGCAAACTTTAGATAAACACTCTTAATAAAAGTGGCGAGTTCTAGTGTCAGGCACGAAAGAGAGTTGCGTGGCTTTGAGCCAATCAACAGGAGACGGTGAATTATAGTTCCACCTTAAGTATGGTTGGATGTTGGTTGATTTTGATTCAATCACCAGGAGACCATGAGTTCTAGTTCCACGTTAAGCAAGAAATCTAGCTGGGTGATTTTGGGCCAGTCCCTCTCTGAAAGCCCAACCTACCTTGCAGGATTGTTGTTTTGGAGAAAATAGGAGGAGGGAGGTATGCTGGATAGGTTCACCGCTTGAATTATTTGTGAGAAAGGAAGGAAGGAGGGAGGGGGGAAGGATGGAGGGAGGAAAGAGATGAATGGGGAAGGGTAGATGGAAGAGGAGGAAGGAGAGACGGAAGGAAGAAAGAGAGGGAGGGAAGGAAGGATGGGAGGGGGAGGGGAGGGGAGGGGAGGGGAGGAGGGAAGGAGGGAAAGAGGGAATGAAGGTCCATATCCAGTGAGAAAATTTGAGAAAAAATTCGCCTATCATCTCTTGTCCCCTGCTCCTTCTACGATCTGCCAATTTTGTTTTAAATTTATTTATTGATGGAAAAGAGCAGAGCCATTAATGATCGATAGCACTCAAGTGGACAAGGGAGGGTTCTAGTTTTGGCTTAGGGAGGAAAGCGGAGCGGGCGACTTGAGGCCAATCACCAGGAGATGGTGAGTTCTAGTTCCGCCTTAGATGTGAAAGCCGGCTCGGTGACTTTGGAGCAATCACCAGGTGATGGTGAGTTCTAGTCCCGCCTTAGGCATGAAAGGCAGCTGGGTAACTTTGGGCCAATCACCAGGCGACTGCGAGTTCTAGTCCCGCCTTAGGCATGAAAAGCAGCTGAGTGACTTTGAGCCTCTCTCTCTCTCTCTCAGCCCAGCCCACCTCAAGTGCGACTGACTAGGGAATTCTGGGAATTGAAGTCCACCCATTTTGGTCTGTGAGGGCCACACCTGCACCGAGTGAGCTGTCCGTGGTACTGGAACATTTGGCTCTTCCAATTCCGGTAGCGATCCTTCGTTGCTTTCGGAATCATTGGAAGATCCTGCAAAAAGATATTTTAGGGTATTCTATCCAAGGTCTCCTTTACCAAGGCTCGGTCCTCAACTTATGATGGCAATTGAGCCCCACATTGCTGTTGTTAAGTGAGACATTTTGAGCTTTGCCCCCATCTTATCCCCTTTCATTCCACAATTCTTAAGGGAAGCACTATAGTTACTATGAGAGTCACTCAGTCATAGAATCCTCGGGCTGGGATCTTGGAGGTCTTCTAGTCCAACCCCTGGTAGACATCCCTGAAGGTCCCACCAAAGATCATGGAATCCTAAAGCTGGAAGGAGCCTTGGAGATCTTCTAGTCCAACCCCCATCACATCTCACAGCCATCTAGCCCACGGAGCTTCATTCCACCAGCCATGGCGAAGCCCCACGCTAAGAGAAACGTGCGTTGGGCCAACTCCACCCAACGTCTTCCTACCTTTGTGGTTGACATCATGGGCCCTCTTCCCCGACAATGACGTCTTCTCTTCCAAGAGCATCATGCCTGCCTCGCGCAGCGTCTCCAGCTCCCTCTCCTCACTTGAACTCGACTCCGGCAGGAAGGAACCCCGAGAAGCTCGCTTTTCCCGCGCCAAGCCCAAATACTTGACGCGAGAATCTCGGTTGCCGGGCAACTGGTTCCTCCCTCGGGCATCTTGGCCGCCGGGAAGTTGGTGGAGCTGGCCAGGACCGAAAGAACTGGCACTCTCGAGAGCTGGAAAAAGAGGAAGTTCAGGGGAGGGACTTCAGACCTTCCCTTTTAACATTGGTTGACATTTCTTGGGTGGGTGGATACATCCCAACCATTGGTTTTCCTTGAAATTTCGTTGACAGGCCATCTTGCTGTACATTTGGTGTCCATAGTGCTCTCTAAGCTTGGTGGTTTTCTCGCAGACGTTTCAGGACCCCACTAGGTGATATCATCAGTGCTAGAAGAAACTGTACATAAACAGAGAACCACAGTTCCTTCTAGCACTGATGATGTTCCCTAGTTGGGTGATGAAATGTCTGCAAGTAAATCACCAAGCTCAAATAGCACCCAGGACCCCCCAGTTCTCCCCCTTCCCCTCCCCCTCCTCCTTTGTTAAGCCATTGTTGCCATCGTTAAGAGACTGCTGTATTTCAGCCATTTTTTTTTTTTTTAATTTGATTTATATGCCGCCCTTCTCCGGAGACTCAGGCGGCTTACAATGCGTTAAGCAACAGCCTTCATCCTTTTGTTTATTTATACAAAGTCAGCTTATTGCCCCCACAATCCGGGTCCTCATTTTACCCACCTTAGAAAGGATGGAAGGCTGAGTCAACCTTGAGCCTGGTGAGATTCGAACTTACAGTAATTGCAGACAGCTGGTGTTAATCACAATGCTATCAGTCTGCTGAGCCACCAGTCCCCTTGATTGTTGCAATCGTTAAGCGACTGCTGTGGTCATTAAGCCATTGCTGCAGTTATTAAGGGATTGCTGCAGTCGTTAAGCCACTCTTGTGGTTGTTAATCAGACACAGCAGGCGTTAAGTGAACCCACTGATTTTGTTTGAGGCAGGATTGACTGAAAACATCAATTTTCATCAAAAACATTGTAAATCAGGGTTTAGTGATCAGGGAAAGATGCAAACGGTCATAAAAGCGGACCAGCTACTGACTGTCCAAAATGGGGTCATGTGACCACAGAGACTTTAAGAGGTTTGGAACCAGGTCCAATTGAACTTTGAAACGGTCATTAAGTGAGCGGTCATACTTCGAGGAGTCCCTGTACACCTTTAATGTACACAGCTCTAACATTTATCCCCAATGGTACAGCTAGTCCTCGACTTATGACCACAATCGCGTCCGTTTCTGTTGCTACACAAGACAGTTGTTAAGTGAATTTCGTCCCATTTTACAACCTTCCCTGCCACTCTTGTTAAGAGAACCATTGCAGTTGTTCAGTGAGTAACACGGTCATTAAGCGAATCCAGTTTTAGCATTGTCGGAAGGTTGCAAAAGGGGGTCGTGTGACCATCATAAATATGAGCCAATTTAGATCACATGACCACAGGGTCGTGAGTATGAGAATCGGTCCCAAAGTTCCTTTTTTTCGGTGTCGTAACTTTGGGCACTAAACAAATGGTCATAACTCAAGAACTATCCATAATGGTTGAATGGGAAGAAAACGGGAGATCTTACCTTCCGCCGGAGGTTTGCGGGTGTCCCGCAGGAGAGTCTCTTTGGGAGGTGTGTGTTCCATACAAGGACCTGCGGTCGAAGGAGCGAGTCGCGAGGTAGCTGATGGGCCTTGGATGGGATCCTCGGAAGGACGTGAAGGTAGAATCAAGGATGAAACAGGAGGCACTTCTGGGAACTGAGATCTTGGGGCAGGAGGCAGGGCAACCGGACCCTCCTCCGGGGCAGGGGATGATGGTTGTTGTAAGGGACAAGTCTCTTGTGATGATATTCTGATGGAACGGGAAGCCAGAGAAATGGGAGAGTCCAGAGACGAGAGGGCATCTTCTGAAGAAGAGTGTCCTGTGCTTTCGGTGAGAAGATTCTCCATCCCTGGATGGCTCGTCTCCGTCTCTGTGTCCGCCAGTTCCATTTCCTCTGATGCTTCTTCCATGGTCTTCTCGTTGGCCATCCTATTGGCTTCTAGTCTTGGAAGATCTTCTGAAGGAGTTTGAGGTGGGCTTCCATCCGTAACTTCAGCCTCATCTTCCCCGGGGGAAGAGACAATGTCTTCCATGCCAACTTCGGTGGCTTCATTTGGTGCAGAACCTTGGAGTTGAGTGTCTTCCACCTCGGGCCCTTCGGATATGGGAAGGACTTCTTCCATCCTATCCTCCTCCACCATCTCTTCTTGATCTTCAGCTTTGGCTTCCTTGAAAGACTGCCAGGAGCTTTGTTGGTGATCAGCAGTCTCTTCCCCAAAGGTCCTTGGGACTTTGAGTTCTTCAGAATATTTTGGTTCTACAACTTTTTCTACGTGCTCTCCACCAAGGTTCTGTAAGACGTTCTCCTTCAGGCTACCAAGAAGACCCTGGGCTTCTGCTACCAGCAGACTACTGATGAGATGTGCAGCCTCCACTCGTCGGTCCTCCAGGTTTCCAAAAGAGCCTTTCAGCATACTGGTGACCTCTTGTTGGTCTTCAAGAACCCTTGGAGATACCATAGCTCCATCATCATCATCATCATGTTGAAAAAAGGCACCAGATGGCTCGAACTGGCTAGGGATGGTTGGTGAGCTCTCTGGGGTGGAAACTTCAGGATAGGCCGTGCTCACATCCTCATCAATGCTTCCCAAACGTTCTCCGCTTTCCACCTGCTCCATCTCTACATGTCTACTGGAAAGACTGTCCTGAGTTTCGGGAAAATCGCTCAAATAGATCTCGTCTTCAGAAGCTAAGAAGATATGTTGAGAAGTCCTAAGCTCAGGAGACACATCTCTTTGCTTCACAGCAGGATGTGAGGTGGTCAAAGGTGTATGGGCAAGAACACTATAATGCAGACACACCGCCGTGCTCTGCTGGGAAGGTACCTCTTCAGGAAAACAATTTGGTGGAACATCCAAGCATTCTGACTCAACGTTCTCCACCATCAGATGCTCCAACTCTGCGGTCAATGCCTCCAGGCTTGGTGGAGAGTGAGTCAATTCTACAACCATGCTTTGGCTACTCCATGTTTGATCAGGGCTCACAAACTCTTCTCTTCCAGAATCTGGAGATGGAGCTAAGACCGTAGTTTCATTGGAGACATCCTCAGGGGCTGTCACAAAGCTGGACTCCAGATAAGAGTAAGATGCGGACTCCTCCAAAGTGTCCGGAGACAGCAGGATGGTGTCCACCTCTTTTTCCTTTTGCAGAGGATGCCCAGTTTCCAAAATAGGAAGGAGACCCTGGAGGAGAGCTTCAGCAAAAGTCTTCTTCTGAACTGCTGGGTGTTCCTCACGTAGGTTATCATCAGTCATACTGGAGAGGATTTGGTCTATGTTTTCTGCTGGAAGAACACCTGGGACAACCTCAACTATCCCAGTGTTGGTCTCCAAAAGGTGGACATCATCTACATCACATGGAGACTGGATGGAGTCCACCCGTTCTCCATCATTTTGAGCTTCAGTTCCTTGTGAAAGAACCTTCTCAGTATCTCGGGGTGCCACCAAGGGTTCCAGCGTCTGCATGGCCTCCATTTGCCGGCATTCAGAGGACCCATTTCTATGTTCTGAGTCAACTTCCTTCATTGTTTCACCAATCTCTTCTTGGTGACGCGCGATTTCATCAGAGGTTGCAAACATCTCCCGAGCTTCAGTCGGGTCGATGCTGTCCAAGTTGCCCTCAGCTCCTTTGCCCCATAGAATGTCCATGTAGCTGTCCTTTGGGCTGCACTGCGGGAATGCTAAATTGTGAGCATCTCCTTGCCGTGTCACTTCGGAGCCTAACTGCTCCATGGCATCTGCTGCTATTAAGCATTCGGAGTCAAGCTGGACCTCCATCTGGTGGTCTTCTACTGGTGGGATTTCAGCAGCAATGTCTGCTTGGCTGCCTTCTCTGCTTTCCAGATCTGATGCATCTTCTTCAGATGGAGTTCCCCAACTCTGATCAGCGTTACCCTCCTCGGATAACCCTCGTTGCCCAGGCTTCTCTACCACTTCAGTCACATTCGGTGGATTCTCGTCTGCTTCAACCAGCTCCTCCCTGGAGAGATGCAATGGTTCCTTGGCCTTATCTAGGTCTTCTTCTGACGTTTCCTCAGCACGGCTGTCCGTTTCTATGTGGATTGGCGTAAGATAACACTCACTATCCCGAGTCTCACTTCCATTGAGAGCTTCAGTTTCGACAGTCTCCAAGCACAGTTCGGAAAGATTAGGAGTCGTGGTGTCATCTACTACCGCTTCATCATTGGAAGAGTGTCCGGAGTAATCCGCTATTTCTGGATCGAGTGAGCTATTCTGCGTTCCACATACACTCCAGTTCTGCAATTCAGCTGCTTCTTCCCCATCTGGGTGAAACAGAGGAGATTCTTGGGGCAACGGTGCCGAGGCATCAAGAAGGGCCCCATTGTCTTCTGCAAGCATGTTTCCTGGGGTGTGGCTCAGTGCCAGGAGAGATTGAGAATCAGGTTTTGCCTCAGAAAATGCCACCATAGCACGGTCCTCATTGTTGATCTGGTCAAGAGACAACGCTTCCTCCAGTTCATCTTCTGACTCCACACAGACAGCAAGACTGTCCTGGGTTGTCTCGGAATCTGCTCGGATGACTTCAGGTTGTTCTAAAAGAGCCCCCTTCGATTCAAGGAGTGACGCAAAGGGCATCTCCTTCTCGGAAGAGGTCTCCAACAGCTCACCATCACCTGGCTCCAGTTCGGCGGAGCTTCCACTGGCGGCACCATCTTGGTCGAGGAGCTCCAGCAGCCGTTTCTCGGATTCTTCGAGCTGCGCACCGATGTCCAAGCTAGAAGAGTCATTATTGTCCACCACTTCCAGATCTTCCAACTCAACTGGGCATGATTCGGGGTTCCATTCCAGGGGGATGACAGACCCTGCACAAACCTGGTCCATCCATTCCTCGGCTAAGGGAACGACCGACAGAGATTCCTCCATGGTGTCAGTCAACGGAGGCTGGTTGTCCGATTCATCATCGGTATCAAAGCAAGCAATCAGACACTCCCCATACTCAGAGACCCCTGACTCCAGGTGGGTTGGTTGGACATCTGAGTGAGGCAGATGTGTTGGAGAGACGTGGGAGAGGATCATTTCCTTGAGGGAATTTTCTTCTTTGTCATCCTGAGTTGGGGGACTCCAATCTTCAGAAGCCATCACAGTGTCCTCTTCTCCTGGCCCCAGATGAGAAATACAAGTGCTCTTTGAAGAGGTACCACTTGGGCTCTCTGGTCTAGCTTGCAGCTGGGAAGCAACCATTGTATCAAAGGATCTTGGAGGTTTCATCGGGTCCTCCTCCATCAACTTTTCTTCTTTTGACATACCCTTTTTCTCAGACACTCCTTTCATCTGTTCTTCCCCTGTTCCACAAACAGTGTCTTCATCCGTGTTGTACGCATCTGAGGATATGTCCATCTCGCTCTCGCTCTCCAAGTGTGCCGGGGTGCTCTCTGGGTCTTCCTTGGACTCTATGACTGTGTCAGCGACCAGGGCATACTGCTCAATGCCATCCTTGCCGTCATCAGAAGCCGAGTCTGAGGACTGGGAGGTGTTATCTGGATAAGCAAAGGACTCGTCCACGCCTTCGTCGATGGATGTTTCCGAGAGAGAGTGCAGGAAGGAGACGGAGGCGCTGTCGTCATCGTCCTCCATGCCATAGAGAGCATCGTTCTCCACCGCTTCTCCTTGCGGGAACAGCATAATCTCCATGGATTCCGCCTCGAAAAGGAGGCTACCACGGAAGGTGAGAAGCAGAGCTGGTATCATCTGATCGCTCTCAATGGTCTTCACGCCATCCTCCGGAGAGGATGTAGGTGGCTGGCTTTCAAAGCCACCAGGTTCACCCGCCTCAGTGGGCCCCACTCCAAACACACCCTGAAGCTCAGAAGGGGGCCCAGAGATGGTGGTAAGGGGATGAGCAAAGGGGCAGGCTTGCAACCCTCTTTTCGTGAAGCCTCCGATTTCTGCGTCATATGAAGGCAACAAACGCTCATGTTCCTCTAAAGGGCTGGAGCTAAGGTCGGCATCATCCTCAGACTCGTCACCATTGGGAGGCCAGGAGGGATAGATCTGCTCGGCCTCATGTGGGAGAAGCTTCAAGGGAATTGTTTCGCAGCCCCAGCCTTCCTCAGAAGGAATCTGCTCCTCTTCCTCACCTCCGCTGCATTCCTCCACAGGGTACGATGACGGAATAGTGTTGTAGGACAGCCCCGGGAAAGCTCCAAAAGTGGAGCAGGTCACCCCGGAAAGTTTTGGTTCCCCTTCAGGAAGGTCTAACTCAGACAAAGCCTCCTCGGCTGCCGTTGGGGCTTCCAGGACTTCCGACTCGGCTAAGAGATTTGGCGAGCAGGACGACGATGTGCTAGCGGTGCCCGTTGAAGTCCAACTACTTCCTTCGGCAGTGATGTAGGAACCTGAGGGTGAGGTGGGTGGAGAGCAGAGGCCTTCGCTGTCTATCTCGTTCTGCTCTTCGCTCAGGCCGTCTTTCGAGAACAGGGGCTGCCTGAAAGGTGGGAACAGAGTCCGGATCGGGGTGGATGGAGCCGTGAAGTAAAGCTCGGAGTCGAGGCTACACGGGTGCTTGGCAAGGAACAGCTGGGACTCAGCCAGCTCTGCAGGAAGGTCTTTGGCCAGTGTGGGAGATGGGGAAGGCACGTCAGCCATTGGCTCGCCCTGAGAGAGAGGGAACACTCCCATCCCCACCAGCTCCTGGGACTTCAGAAGTCCTGGTGGGGACACAGATGTGCAGGCATGGAGGTTACCGAAGTTTCTTGCAACAGGAGGGAGAGGCGCACCCTGGAACGCCGCATCCAAGCCTTCGTTGCCCACATTGCTCGTCTCTTCACCGGAGGTAGTCTCCAAGACGCAAGGTTTGGGGACCCCAAGGGTGTCCTGTACTGCCACCCCGAGGCAGTGGGTCTCTTCACCCATCACGATGCGCGCGTCCAGAAGATCTGTCCCCGGAGAGTGTCCAGGACTTCGGGGCCTCATCCCGCCAGATTTGGGAGCCTGCTCCATCACGATCTGGCCGCATTCGCTCAGTGCCACCGAGCCAGCCGTGGCGTTGCCGGCGGTTGTGTCGCAACTGGCCCCCTCAGGTTGTGGCCGGTCTTCCTTCTTCTTCACTGGCAGGAACAGCAACACATCGGTGGGAGTGTCGGGTGTCACAGCCAGAGAAATCGGCGTGGCAGGCTGGACTTCTCCGCTTGGCGTTGATACAGAGGAGAGGCTTTCCGAGCCATCTGTGGGGGGAGAGAGAGGAGGGGGGGAAGCAGAAGTCAAATGGTCCACCCGGCAAGAGACACAGACGGATTTAAGCAACTTAAGAGGCTGGGAGGCCTTTTGAACTGGGTCGTCTTAAAAGGGATTTGGAAAAATGGAAGAGTTGGAATCACTAACCCCGTGCTGAGCTGGCGGTTCTCCAGCGATTCACAAGGTTGGGTGCGTCAGAGAAGGGGGAGAAAGAGAGAGAGAGAGAATGACAGAGAGAGACAGAAAGAGAAAGAAAGAGGTACAAAGAGAGACAAAAAGAATGACAAAGAGAAAGAGACAGACATAATAAACAGACAGAAAGAGAAAAAGAGAGAAAAAGAGAGTGAAAAAAAGAGATAGAACAAAGAGACAGAAAGAGAGAAAAAGAGAAACAGAAGAAAAAGAAAGGAAGGAAGGAAGGAAGGAGAGAGAGAAAGAGAATGACAAAGAGAAAGAGACAGAGAGACAGAACAAAGAGAGAGAGAGAGAGAAACAAGAAAGAAAGAGAGAGAGAGAGAGAGAAACAAGAAAGAAAGAGAAAGAGAGAAAGATGGAAGAAAGGAAGGAAGGAGGGAGGGAGAAAGAGACAGAACAAAGAAAGAGAGAGAGAGAAAAAGAGAAACAAGAAAGAAAGAAGGAATGAAAGAAAGAAGGAAGGAAGGGAGAGAGAGAGAGTATGATAAAGAGAAAGAGACAGAAAGAAAGACAGAACAGAGAAAGAGAAAGAGAGACAGAAGAAAGAAGGAAGGAAGGAGAGAGAAAGAGAACAACAAACAAAGAGAAAGAACAAGACAGGAAAAGATAATGAAAGAAAGAAGGAGGGAAGGAGGAAGAAAGAGAAAGAGAACAACAAAGAGAAAAAGAAAGAGAGAAAAAGAAAAACAGAAGAAAGAAAAAAGAAAGAAAGAGGAAGGAAGGAAGGAAGGAAGGAGAGAGAGAAAGAATGACAAAGAGAAAGAGATAGAAAGAAAGACAGAAATAAGAGTTAAAGAATGAGACAGGAAAAGAGAAGAAAAAGAAAGAAGGAAAGAAAGGCAAGCAAACAAGGAGGAAAGAAAGAAAAAGAACGAAAGAAAAAGAAAGAAAAAGAAAGAAAGAAAAATGGAGTGGGAGGGAGGAAAATAGAGGGAGAAAGAAAAGGAGAGAATGAAAGGCAGCAGGAAAGAGAAAATGGAAAGAGAGAAGGAAGGAGGAAAAAAGTAAAAAGGGGGAGGGGGAGGAAGGGAGGAAAATAGAGGGGGAAAGAAAAGGAAGGAAGGAAGGAAGGGAGAGAGGAAGAAAAGGAGAGAGTGAAACAGGCAGCAGGAAAGAGGTACAAAGAAAAAACAGAAAGAGAAGGAAGGAGGGAGAGGAAGGGAGGGAGGAAGGAAGGAACGAAGGAACGAAGGAAGGAAGGAAGGAAGGAAGGAAGGAAGGAAGGAAGGAAGGAAATACAGACAGATATGCTAGGTCCTTGGGAAGGACTTCAAGAGATGGATAAAAATCCCAAATCCCAAATGCTTTAAGAGGGATGGACTCCAACTCCCAGAATCCCCCAGCCAGTGGACCTGGGGCTGACCTTACAAGGGCCTCCACTTATGCTGGATCTTGCACGCGTATCTCTCTGCGACAGTCACAGAAGGATAAGCAAAGACAGAGAAGTAAGCAGTCCTCTACTTATAACCATCATTGGAAGCGGAAAATTTGTTAGTAAGCAGTTCCGTTGTTAAGTGAGGCATCTTATGATTGCATCTCTTTTTACAACCTTGTTTTTTTTGACAAGGACCAACACTGCCAGAGCAAGCAGCTGCATATAAACAGAGAGTAAACCCTCCACACCTCTAGCACTGATGATGTTCCCTAGTTGGGTCATGAGACGTCTGCAAGAAACACCGAAGCTCAGAGAGCACCAAGGACCCCACAGTTCTCCTTCTCGTCCTCCTCCTCACAGTTGATCCCTTCTAGCACTCAGAAAGGAGAAATCCAGCTAACGGGCCCAGCCCCGACTTTGCCAGCCACAATCACGGCATCTCAGTTCCCTGGGATCAAATCATAGTTTCCGAGAAATGCAAAACCGTTGAACGGCAAACCAGGATCAAAGTCTCATTGCGTCTTTATATCCCTTGTTTTCTAGGGGGAGGAAGCTGGGCTGTATCCCCTCGTTTATCCTCCCAGCGGGATGGACTGCAAATCTCAGAATCCAGAGTCCAGGCTGGGAAGGATAGGCTTTGTAATCACCCCCCCCCCCCCCCGAGGTCTTATTGGGGGCCAAACGCTGAAGTCCAGAGAGACAGACAGACAGACAGAGAAAGGGAGAGGAAGAGAGAGACAGAGAAAGAGAGAAAGAGAATAAGAGAAAGAGAAAGAGAGAGACAGAGAGAAAGAAAAGAGATAGAAAGAGAAAGAAAGAGAAAGAGAAAGAGAGAAAGAAAACAGAGAGAAAGAGAAAGAAGAGAGAGAAAGAGAAAGAGAAAAGAGAAAGAGAAGAGAGAAAGAAAAGAGACAGAGAAAGAGAATGAGAAAGAGAGAGACAGGCAGAGAGTAAGAAAACAGAGACAGAGAGAAAGAGAAAGAAAGAGAAAGAAAGAGAGAGAGAGAAAGAAAGAAAGAAAGAAAGAAAGAAAGAAAGAAAGAAAGAAAGAAAGAAAGAAAGAAAGAAAGAAAGAAAAGAGAGTGGGAGACAAATAGAGGGTGTTCTTATGATGCGCTGACCCTCCCTCATTTAGGGATGATGGGCTTTGAAATTAGAGCTGCCCCCCCCACTTGGGACCCCCTAGTAAGGAAGGCCCCCTCCCCATCTGTCTTGTAAAGGTCCAAAACCAGAGAAATGGGTTTCCTTCACCCTTGTGGGAACCATCCTGCCTGATTTTCCCCAGGACTCTTGGAAAAGGTGATGCAAGCCTCGACATACACTGTTCCTTAGTGACCGACATTACGAAGGGCCTTACAAAAAGGAACCGTCTTTCACCCTTACTCATAGGCTGTGGCGTCCCAGTTTTCAAAACCTCCCATTGCAGTTAAAGTTTCATTGATGTTGCCATGTTTGTGTGATATGGACTTAAAAGCATGCTAACTGGGGGATTCTGGGAGTTGAAGTCCTCTCTTCTTAAAGCTGTCAAGAATGTTAAGTGAGACATGTCCAATCCCAGGACCTTTCTTGCCAGGGTCGTTAAACGAATCAACACCCTTGTTAAGTAAATCAAGCCAAGACGGCTTCCCCAATTCCTTGTCGGGAGGCCTCAGTGAAAACAGAGGGACTTCACCCCCGAAGGAATCCCGCATTTTCCCGTCCCAAGCAACACACAGACACACAAAGACACACAAGGCCAATTCTCCGCGCAAAGTGACACAAACCGGAATCGATTGAGCAAAAAACCATGAAAAGCCTCCGAGGGACAAATCAGCCCTGTAAAATTTAGAACGCTTGGCTTGCAAAGAGATTTTTTTTTTTAGAAACAATCCTTTTTCTAATATTTTTTAAAATTGTTCCTTTATCCGTTTCACCAGCTCTCTGCGCGGGCCCAAAGGAAGGACTTCCGAGGAACCTTGGAATTCGCACTCGGCTCGGCTTCTTGAATTTTCACACGGGGGGAGGGTGGGATCAGAAGACAATGAGATTTTATAAAAGGGGACATTGTAAAAAAAAAATCCAGAAATTATCAGTGCTCCATCACTGGAGGGTTTTAAAAAGAAATTTTACAGCTGTTTGTCTAGGATGGTATAGAAGATCTCCTGATTTTTTTTATTATTATTTATTTTGATTTATAGAGGAAGAGGAAGAGGAGGTCCTTAATATCCTTTGAGTTTGATGGTTTTCTTTCAAACGTTTTAGGACCCAACTAGTTAACATCATCACTGCTAGAAGGAAGAGAAGGAGGAGGAGGAAATAAAAGAAAAGGAAAAGGAGGACAGTGGGTGTTTGGTGCTCTCCGACCTTGATTGTTGGCTTACAGAGGTTTCCTTACCATGAACACCAACTACCGGTAGTAGTCAGAAGACATGATGAAAACTCTTTAATGAAACAACACATGGATTAATTCAACCATAGTTTCATCTGGGAACCTGTGACCATCTTAGACCAAGCCAAGTCCAAAAAACGCAGCTAGAGAATTCCTGGAGGCCTGGCACTCAGATCAAGCAGCCATCAATGAACACGGAGAGATAAATAAGGTTTACACACCTTTGAAAAGTGACAATAACATCTAGAACAGACAACACGGGGATTGTAACAGCCACTATGTAGGACAAACAGGGAGAAGACGAGCAGAAGGCATCCAGGAACACCAACAAGCAGTCAGAAGACACAATGTGAACTCCTTAATTGCACAAGCCATGGACAGATTCAACCATAGTTTCAACTGGGAAACTGATCATCCTAGAGCCGTGATGGCGAACCTATGGCACGCCTACCACAGGTGGCATGTGGAGCCATCTCTGCGGGCACGCGAGCTGTTGCCCTAGGTTGCCTTCACTGCACATGCGTGCGTGCCGGCCACCTGATTTTCGGCTGGGCACGCCCGCACTGCCCCTCCCCTCCCAGGAGTCTCCACATGGCCCGTTTTGGATGCCAGGTAAGTACAGGGCTCACATGGAGGCTCTGGGAGGGTGAAAAATAGGCCTTCCGGAAGTCCGGAAATAGGCTGTGTTTGCCCTCCCCAGGCTCCAGGAAAGCCTCCGGAGCCTGGGGAGGGTGAAAAAGAGGCCTATAGGGCCTACTGGAAGTCTGGAAATGGGCTGTTTCTGGCCTCCGGAGGCTTCAGGGAGGCCTGTTAGGCCCAAAACGAGGCACGGGAGGGAGGCGCGCGCATGCATGGGGGATAGGGCATTGCAGGGTGGGGCGCGTGGGGGCATTGCATTATGGATGTGGGCATGCGCGCACATCACCCCCCGCGCTCCCCCCACTTTTGGCACACGATGGCAAAAAGGGTTGCCATCACTGTCCTAGAGTAAACCAAGTCAAAAAAACAGAAACAAAGGCATTTTGGCACTTAGACAAAGCAGCCATCGCCAG